TCTTCTCCACCTCCTCAGAAGGCGAGCTGTCTGCACTGACAGCAGTTTTCAAAGCCAACTCTAAGCGTTTGTAGAATCTGGAAAGAATTGTGGAGTTATTATTTTTGTAGGTTTGCTCAGGATCTGCAAAACTACTCTGAGAAACTAATGCTTTTGCAACATAATCAATACGTGCTAAGAAAAGAAAATGGTTACTAACATCAGAAAGTTCTGGCCAATACTGGAAGAAAAATTAGAAACATCAGCACGTGTCCTTGTGTCCGCCATGCCACTTCTCTTTGTAATGCTTGTATGTCAGAAATCAAAGGGTGGGGGTACTCACGTGCCATTAAGACCCTGCTCATCTTACAGAAACTATAAAATGTTGTCAGGTTAAACGTCTGATGAACGACAACATTAATGATCAGATGGACTCCTACTATTAACAATTACTTCTAACAACTACAGAGATTTTCAATGGACATATAAAAAGAAACTGGTCTTAATACATGTAGGTGTCTCTCCAGCATCCTTATGATCCTCATTCTCTTTCACTCTTCTGCCTATTCTGTTCCTCAGCTGGAGACAAACGTTAAGACACAAAGCATGTGTAACCTTCCACCACCTTCAGAAATCATCGGGTTTGGAAACTATACAAAGCATTTAGTGGATTAAAGTGTGCACTGCAATCTGCATACTTCTGAAATGGTTACTGTGTTAGAATAAAAAATGATATTATCATTAGAAAGTTAAACCCTACTCAGTAACGAAAGACAGTCTGCAAACTCATGTTGTTTACAGGTTTTAGCTTAAACAGTTTATAGTCTTCAGAGCTCAAAAAATTATTGTATTGAAATTGTATTTTAGACTTTGGGGGGGGCTGTCTGGTTTTGGTTGGTTTTTTTTTTTTGTTTTCTAACACAACCCATCTCCCTTTTGGATTTAGATGCCATGAATAGGATTGGTGTACTCTTGCAAACCTGTCAATCCTCCTTGTGTTTTCTTCCATTTTCCGATTGGCCACCTGTATCAGAAATTCAATATATTCTTCGGAGACCATCAATTTCCCCTTGTGGCTCAACGGAACTTCTAAGCAATGAGTGCTCCGGACAGCCTAAAAACACACACAAAAGGATTTATCTAGAATAAAGTTTTTTATTTTATGAAGGTTATTTAAATAATATGGGAAAAAAAAAACACTTATCCACACAATTGGTTAGGTGCTGTCAACTAAAGCAGAAAGATACTTCTTTGCTACAGCATGCCCTGTGATAGCTGTCTATCATATTACAATTCAGATCTTGGCTCATAAAAAAAAAAAAAAAAAAATCAAGGTTAGCAGCAATGATATGACTTTGTTACATTTCTTACAGGAAGTAGAAAAGCCCTTACCATCATAATTTTTCCTCCTCTGCCAACTGTAATACCAGAGTTCCTGAACCCAGAATCAATGGCCACCGAATGCTGCGGAACAAATAAATGCCTTAAGCAGGTCTTACACACCTTCACAGCAAGAAATAATTATGGATAGGTTGCAACGCAACCTACATCTCAGTTTTGCCAAAAACTTACTCAAAACCATCTCCCCAAATTCATGCAATACTAGTAACATTAAAATGTTTTAAAGATCAAACTCACACAGTATCACAAATCATGGCTGGTTTTCAAAGAACCACAGTCAGTTTTGATTGTCTAATCTTAATCCTTTAGTGCAGATGGGACATTAATGGGAACTGTACTACTATATCTCGAAGAGCTGGTAACCATACAGGCAGTCGTGCAGCACTTTTATAGCTAGAAGGGCAGCAGTATTGTAAAAGGAGTTAATTGACTCTCTTCTACATAAATGAAGGTACAAACCCATCACCAGTTTCACTCTGAAGAGCAGAAGGCAAAGGTGCCACTCCATTAGCTGAGACACTGGAGCTGAACAGCCTGGCTGGTAGCAAAGTCACATCTAAAAACCCGTCGCTTTTGGCCAGCAAAAGCAATCCAGGCTCACGGAGAAAAGTTTTCACCAGGCAACCTGCTTCAGCTCGGAGACTGAACTGTGGTTGAGTAACTTTGTCTTCTAAAAAGCACAGCAAATACTAAGTTCAAAGCTGTGTTTTCTTTTTTACCCGAGTTATTAAACATGCAGCACACCTGGGACCATTCTTAAGTGCTAAAGCTTACTCAGGAGCCAACACTTCTACTTTTACAGCAAGGAATATAACAGAACAACAATGTAATGCTGTTACTTGATGTAATTTTACCAGAAGCTGTGCATCTTGCAGCTCTTGACACAGCACATGAAGAACAAATGGTTCAAACTTGAGCACAACATCACCAGTGGCTTTCTCTAGTGCTGTCATCTGGAAAACACACCAAAATATTTATATTAATACTGCAAATGTGTACTGTTACTACAGAAAGAAAACAAAAAATAATATCAAGTCAGCGTGTGAAAGAAGCATTAAAAACGCAGCAAATGAGGTCCAAGCAATCGGGTTTGTTCAGCTGCTTTTGATTTTTCATTGCTCACAATACACAGAAATCCCACGGATTTCCATCATTCTGTTTGCTAAACTGATTAGGTTTGAGAGCAATTCATAGCAAGATAGCCTTTAAAAACTCTGGAAAGTGCACTTCCCTGTTTATTTCTTTGTAGATTGACATGAATCGATACAGTCAGCGCAGCACAGGAAGAGAACTGCTTTACTGCAATCAGATGAAACCTGAGCACATTTTTTTATTTTTTCTAAAAACCTGTTCTTTAAAATCAAAGACGTTTAGTTTCTGAAGTACATTTTCTTAACTCCAGAAAACTTTCTGGGGTTCAGCAAATCAAATTCATAGCCTAACACACTTGATCACATTTTAACCTAGTTTAAACAAGAATGTGTAGATTACTGTATGAGACTGAAAAAGAGAAAAAAGTTCAGAGGTTGAAACTAGAGGCATAAACCTGCGAGACACGGCGGGGCGGAAAGAGGGAAGTAACTTCGCAGTTCTAAGATTCAAGAAATTACCTTCAGACCCCTCAGTTCTGCTAGAAGACTGAGATGACAGTGGCAATTTTTCCTGCATTTGTGAGTGTGGAGAAAGCTCCAAGACATTCTGCACGGCCTATTATCACAATTGCTCTACTTTTCTACGCGGTGTCTTTGCAGAGCCACCTTAAGGGCCGACGTTACTTTTTTCCATTCAGAAAGGTTGCTTTGAGGCAGTTCTATTACTTATTTCATTTTATGATGATTTAATCACAAGCACTGCTTCCTCCCCCTGCCTTGTTTGCCTTCACTCGCTTAATTCACAGCACTAAAAAATTTGCTATGTTAGCTTGAAAGATTTCAGCTGTTTTCCCATATTTTGTTGTTTTGTCTGGCCCTTCTCATCT